CGGGGGGGCATGGTGGGGGGGGTCCGCCGAGCGCCTCGGCCGTCCTCGGAGAGCAGAGTGCGACAGAGCCATGCTCTGTCTCACTCTCTCGCACGCTGTGCGTTTCTGACAGCGTGCGAGAGAGTGAGACAGAACACAGCTCCGTCGCACTCCGCTCTCCGAGGACAGCCGAGGCGCTCGGCGGCCCCCCACCATCGGCCACGGTGGCTGTAGCGGCTTTCATCTGGGAGGTCTGCGCGGAGATACAATTTTCGTAATTTCTTACAATCAGCAAGGACGTCAAAACTTTGTGATGATACACGTGCACACTGTAAATTTATTATTTCCAAGTTCTGTAGCGAGTCTCTCAATTCATGTTCAAATAAAATTATATCATTCGGAACATTATCATTCTCATGTTCATTATCCAAACAAACCGTCACTTGCACTATTAGAGTCGCGAGATAGTAAACCGAAATATTCCAAATTTAATTCACGTATCCGTTTATTTTTTTTCAGTATTTCACAAAGAGTGTCAGGTTTTATATTTAATGTAAAATCAACACTTAAATGTTCAAGAGTGTTTAATTTTTTCAGATATGAAAATCCTCTGTCATTTATGCATTTACACAACTTAAATCCAGTTCTAAAAACATATGAAATTACATATATACAGGGTGGTCCATTTAAGTGTGGACATGGAAATATCTCGAAAACTATATATTGGATTTAGAAAATGGTCGTAATAAACGTTGTTTGTCTCGAAGGGTCCTATACATTGGAACCAATACATTGGAACCTATACATTGGAAATACACAAAATAACATTTGCAACTAATATCATCACATGATATACACTTCTTGAAATACCGTACGGGAAGCATTCGTAATTCGTTATGCGATTCGTTCGAAGAGATTGTACGTGCTCCTGTGTTACTAAAGTTGCTCACTTGACAAATATTGACTACACTTTAATTTGTTCCAACGTTATAACGTTGGAACAAATTAAATTTTATTATTAAAAAAATGGAAAAGATGAAATGTTACTTAATATCGACGATTGTAATACCTTAAATCATCAGCAACTTCGCGGTAAAAATATACAGTTTTAATCAAATATGACAGAAGAGATCCTACATTATTTGTAAGATAATGCGGCGGGATTAACTCCGATGTGCCGATAAGCATCACAGAATTTATCATTTTGTAATAGTTCCATACCGTGTGCAAATGTTATTCTAAGCTTTTTGGTTTTAAAGGTGCATAACAGTGAGGGTACGCAAAATAATGTTGTCTCTATCGGGTTCGATACAGTAGAAGACGATGTTCTCTGTGATTCATCCCATATTAATAATAAGTCGTTATTATCGGAATCTATAGCCGAAATCTCCATTACATCTGTTGCAGCATCACACATTGCTAGTACGAGTATATCAATACCGATCGGATATACAGCTTCATGAAATGTTATATCTTCAAAATAGAAAACATAGTTATAATTTCTTCTTAATAGAGACGTATTATGTTTAACAAATCAAATATTACATATCAATAACTACATTTGAATCTGTGGCCTCACATACATCCTGTGGTACATACATTCTTTTGTCTTTATTTCACCGTAAGTCAGTCTTCGAGTGCTTTCACCTAATCCCTCGAACCCTGCCACCGGCGAGCACAGTCCGCGGGGAAACACGATTAGGCAATCGTTTCAGACTAAACATTGGTCCAATATTGGTTATACTAGAAATGCACTGGTCGATATTGCCAAACGAAAAGTGAAAAGTAAAGCCAATACTGGCCATGGAATAAATATAAATATTGCACAATAATAATTATACAATATTAGATTTATATTGAAAGTGCATTGGCCAATATTTAACAATGTAATAAGAATATTGGTCTAATATTGAGACAATATTAAACCAGTATTGTTAAATAGACATATTGGCTAAATAAGAGAAGGCGTCCATCTTACAATATTGGACCAATATTCGGAATACTAGGCTCTTACATTATTTTCCAATATTGCGTCAATATATTGTGCTACTAGAGTTGTCGAGGGAACCTTGAGAGCTACGCCCCTAAGACTGGTATTGCAATTAAAATTCGAATGTTTGATTATTACAGTGAGCAAGCTCGATCATACGGATAATGACTGTCTCTGCATCATTGTGCTAACTCATGGGACCGAGCACGATATGATATGCGCGAAGAACGCCATTTACCAAGTCGACGTGCTTTGGAAGCCCTTCACCGCTGATAAATGCACATCGCTCGCGGGCAAGCCTAAGCTGTTCTTCATCCAGGTAAAACAACATTTTCCAGTTCCGTTCTATTTTTAAATTATTGACACGTTCCGATATATTTTCGCTTGGTTTTATCCAGCTCGCTTACTCCGTCTGGCTTTTTGTTTAGGCTTGCAGAGGGGAAGCAGCCGACAGTGGTATTAAAATATCTCCCCGCACTCTAAGACAAACTGAAACTGACACGGTGCCTTATTATACTATTCCGACTCACGCAGATTTTCTGATGGCTTACAGCTCGAGGCAAGGTGAGTGTCTATGATACCTCAATATGATTCTACAGAAAGTTGGTCATTTTGTAGAGGCGTTGTTCTAACGGGGGTATTCAAAAAGGGCTGAGCACCAATGTAATAACTAAAATTGACTTTAACAAAATATTACAAGAATCGAACTTATTTCTGTTTCGGATTTTAAACACGATGTGCAAAAATGCACTTTTTGAAGCTATCACAATATATAAATTTGAAAAAGTACAACGAAAAACCACGTACATTCTTAATAACTGATTATAAAATATTAGTAATTTTATTTCATTATAAAATATTATATTTTAGTAAAATACTAATCACAACAATTAAGATTATTACGTAATATTGTATAATTGAATAATGATTAAAATTTTTTTTAATACCAAAACATACAATATAAAAATAAATAGGTATTTATAAAAGCGTTTCTTTCTTCCTTTAAAAAAGCTTGCTTAATTCTCATTGACTCAATTCGTTATTAACTCAAATATCATAACTTGATTTAATTTATTGGAAACATGTTTCAGTTCTACTGGATTTACAATATATAATACATAATACAATATGTAATACAATATACAGGGTGTACCTAAACTAAATATATTAATGGCGATAAATATTTTAATGACAAATACCTTGTAACATTTTGAGACGAAAATTCTATTGTAATATGAAAAAGTCGAGGCTATAATAGTTTTCAAATGGGAACAGTTTAAACATCTCGAATAGCAAAGCTAGAATTTCGCGCGCTCACGGATGGCAAAATGGCCAGTGATAAAGGTGATTTCTTGAACCACACGTCTTTGACATTAATGAAATTAGTGTAAAAATGTATGCAAGAGTTTTATTAAGAAACTATTTCTGTTTATTTGCAACGAAATTTAGAAATAGTTTAAAATGTTTTTTTTCAATAGTTCAAATCGATATTGATTTGTGTCAACTGTCATCAGAATATCTATTTGGTTAAATTGCGACAAATTTCATCGCGGAGATTT